CTGCCTTCTGCAAGGACCATTCCCTTCATCACTTCTTAGTTCGCGCTACACTCCCCACCAACCATTCCAACCCACCCAGTACCTTCCTCTGTAACTGTAAAAGATGCAACACCTGCCCACACACCACCTCCCTCACCTCCATTCAGGGCCCTAAACAGCCCTTTCAAGTGAGATAGAGTTTCACCTGCATCTCCTGCAATCTAATCTGCTGCATCCGGTGCTCCCAGTGTGGTCTTCTCTATGTCAGTGAGACCAAACGTAGACAATGTGACTGTTTGGCTGAACATCTCTGCCTGGCCCATAATGGGCAACCTAATCTCCCAGTCACCGCCCATTTCAGCTCCTCATCCCACACCCCCTCCGACACATCTGTCCTCAGCCTCCTCCAGTGTTACAGCAACTCGCAATGCAAATTTGAAGATCACCACTTTATCTTCCGCCTGGGCACGCTACAGCCCAGAGGACTCAACATTGAATTCTTTAATTTCAAATATCCTTCCCACTCATACCCCATCTTCCCTTCCAGCCGCATCTCCTCCTTTCCATTCCACCTTCTGGCCCTCACTTCCAGCCACCAACCAGATTCATCCTTCCCATCAACCAACCAGGTCATACCTATTACCAGTGTCCACCTATCACCGCCATTCTGCCTCCACTCCTCACCCCACCCCCTTCTTTATCTGCAGCTCCCCCCTACCCCTACTCTCACATCCAGAACTGAAGAAGGGTAATACCCGAAACTTTGACTGCTCCTTGCTCCAGATGCTGCCTGGCTAGCTGTGTTCTTCCAGCCTCCTGTTTGCCTACCTAACTATACTGACATGTCTTATGTTTGTCCTCATTGATAGCTGCAGAGGAATGTTAGATATTTCTGTCATTGCATCAGTGACTATGTGTGTTTGTGATTAGTCTTTTTATTTAATGTTCATGTGTTATTCATTTAGATAGTTACCAGTCTCTGCAATGTAGAGAAAGATGTGGACTCTGCAGACTCTCCACTACCTGTAGTATTAAATAGATTTATTGAGATAATATTGACCAGGGCCAATTGATCTGCCTTATGCAAAATGAATGGGAAGAAACAATGCTGCGGGTTCTGAGATTCCTGTCACTACCTGGTGGATTCCAGCTGTTGCCTCAGTTCTCCGGGGTTATACTCTTCTGTGCCACGTGTGTGTGTGATCAATGCCCAGCTCCCCTACTATTCTAGGTGGCAGACGATGAAAGCTCAGGGCTAGTTCCTGCAGGGAGTTTTCTGAGGATCCCAACCTGTACCAGCCACATCAGTCCCTCAGGTGTAGGTGAACCTCACGTGTACGTGATTGGCCCTGGTACTCCTGGCCTATTTCTCCATGTCCCGAGTGACCATTAGAATCTTCAGTACTCATGTACTCTTCTTGAGATTCATTGAATTTATCCTCACCTGAGGAAGAGTGATGCTACTCCCTTGTCATCATGATCAAAGGCTTTGCTGCCTTGCATGGCCACATTGTGCAGTGAACAACATACAACCATTATCCATGAATCACTGTCTGGTATGTAATGCAGTGCACTTCTGGACCTTCCAAGGCCGAAGAAGCATATTTTTAACACCCTGCATTTTGCCTGTCAACGGCTCTGCTGAAGGAGAGGATTGTACTGCAGCATTGTCTCATTACCTCACTGGTATCATCAATCGTGCCCATAGAGGATAACATTTGTTACACAGGATCCAGCCATTAATTCGGGTTGACTGCTTAAAAAGCTCAGGAAGCTACCAGTCCCATGCAATTTATGCGTCTTAAGAGCTCAATGGGAAAGGAACTGCTTAATTCTTCATCTGTGGTCGCAAAACAATTGTGCATTCAGATTGGAATCCTTTGCATTTCCCATTTGCTGTTGGCTGTTCCCAGCAAGCTCTGATGTAAACATGAATACTGTCAATTATCTCTTGCACTCAAGTGAAATGAGAGACAGTCATGAAGTCTATTCCTCTGACCAACTGGTTGTCATCATCTGTAGTGAACCTGATGAACTCATTGGCAAGATGGAAGAGGGCATTGGTCACCTTTTTTGATGCAACTATGTGTGCCAGCTACAAATGCCACACATGTTGCCCGTGGGACAGCCCGCTGGCAAGAAAATTGATGCTGCAATCACTTTGCAGGCTACTTGCATGAATTTTTCATTCTTTCACTTGGCTATAGGTCTTGCTGCATGATTAAGCAGGCCTCCAGTTTCTGGGACATCCTGTTACAATTGCTTCTCAGGTGTGGAGGTATTTGTTAGTGATTTTCTGTCCCTCTGCCCTGCCTAGATGGATTCCTCCAGACTTCCGCACCCAGCTCCTCAGTGGCGCCTGTTCCTGACCTTGTGGACTCATTTGTCGATCACTAAGAGCCCTCCTTTGTTGTATTCTATCCTATTGCTCCTGAGGTTGTCAGATGATTGCTTTAAAAGACACACGTGTGGTTGATCAAGTGAACAGCATGAATAAAGCAGACAGAGATTTGAGAATCTGGATATCCATGACTGTTGTCCATGTACCTGCTGAGCACTTGAAATTTCATCAATCGCCAAATTCCATGGACACTACACTGGCCTCCTATCATATGAAATGCAGTCCTGTCAGCTATAAGCGAGTTTTTGAAAAACGACAACTGCTATGTGCTGTATGCAAACTATGACTCTCCATCCTCCCACTTCACTTTCAACTTTGTTTCCACTACCCCAACCATCCTAACATCACTCTGCAACTTTTCTCTGTTAATCTTTAACTCTCACCATGCCACCCCCCGCCATAATGTGGGCCCCTGTTGTTGTGTAAGTGTACATGCCATTTCCCCTGAGCCCAAGCCTACTCCCAAGCCTATTCGAATTCCTCCTCTGCTCCCAGACCCTCCCTGCAACACCCAGAGGCTTGGCCTTAGATTATCATGTACTGACCTGCGAGATCTTTGTTTGTACCTCAGACTGGATGTGTGTGTCCCCCCACCCTCCCCCCGACAGACTGCGAACTTTCGTTCTGCCAGCCAGCGCTCTGTCGTTTACACACAGGACCCACACGTGGGCGAGTGTGACCATTTGGATTCCTCTTATTGCTTATCAACACTGGCTGCACTGAGCTTACCTGGCACAGCCAGGATGCCAGGCTTCCCACCATAAACCTCTGTACCCCAACTCCACCCTCTGAAATCCCTCCCATTCCTCCATACCCGTACCCAAAACCCCCGCGTGCTTTTATCCCAGACTTAGGCTCACCAGTTGCGAGACTCCATACAAGCTGCCATTCTTCTGCTCCTTTCCCTTCGGCTGCAGAGTTTGAAAAAGCAACCACTCATCTTGATCACAATGGCACAAAGCTGAATAGGGCACGCCACGTTAATATAAGTGGGAATTAAGTTCCTGTGTGCCACTGACCTCATCTGAAATGTAGCATTTAATTTCACAAAATATTAATATAATGGTAAAACCATTATATTAAATGGGAAAAACCACCCTCCACAGGACAGCATGAACCCCCATCCCGCTATTGCCAGTTAACCAATTTAAATTTTCACTCTGAAAGCACCATAGTGATTATGAAATTTCAATTCCTGCCTGATTTACTCACCTCACTCTCCATGTTTCCCATTCCCAGCGTCTTCATCAATTTGTTTTTTTTTCTTTATTTGTGAGATAATAGTGTCACTGTCTCAGCCAGCATTTATTACCCATCTCTAAATGCCCAGAGGACAGTTAAGAGTCAATCACTTGTGGGTCTCGAGTCACATGGGGATGCAATGATGGAGGGGTCATGTAGCAGGACCAATAGTTCAGATTCACAAGCTGCATGTGTTTGAGGTGCACCGTATCAGATGCTGAAATTTGAATTCACTAAAAATCTGGAATTAAAAGCTAGCTGAACTGCCATGTAGCCATTGTCAATTGTCGTAAAAACCCAACTGATTCACCAATAACCTTTATGGAATAGTACATACCATACTTAGCTGGTCTGCACCATGTGTAACTCCAGGCCCACTGCAATGTGTGTGACTCTTAATTGCTCTCTGGGCAATTAGGGATTGGCAATAAATGTTGGCCTCTGAAATTACAGGTATAGCTGGCAGATATCCTTCCCCAAAGGCTATCAGTAAACGGCTAGTTTACCCTAACGTTACTATGGGAAGTTTGGTGTTATTATCCTTGGACTGAAGGAGATTGAGGAGAGGTTTGATAGAGATTTGTAAGATTGTAACAGACTTGGATAAGGTAGATAAGGAAGCATACGGTCCAGTGGATGATGAAATGAGGACAACAGAATGCTTTTATGAAGCAAGTGTTATTGATCTGAAATTTGCAATCTGTGAGAGCAGTGAAAGTGGAAACAATCAATGATTTCAAATGGAAATTGATGGACTGTTGAAGAAAACAAACTTAAAAGGGAGGTGAAAATCAAGCGGGAATATCAAATTAATTGGATGCTCTGAAGTCAACTGGCATGGACGTATTGGGGCAAATGGCCTTCTGAACACTCATTCTTTGCTTCCTTGAAAAAATATTGGGAAATTACAATGTGGAACGCTTGTGTTTGAACACTTAATCCATGCACTTAAATTAAATTTATCATTAGCTCCACTGAAAATGCACTGAGAAATATGAGATAAGGTATGTTGGTTCCTCGCAGCATAACTCAAGTCAAAACTATTTTTAAACAAAATACTATTTAGCGACCTAATTTTTTTTACTGAAATGCTGTCACAATATTGAAAAAATTAAGTGTTTTGCTGCATCATTTCAATTTTCACACAACTGCTTGTAGTCAATGTTGTTTGACGTACTGGTGAAGTTTCCAAAGTTTTAGTATAATAAGTTGAATATTAAACTTGCAGGCAAACTGGAAGGGGAGTTTTACCTGCCAGTTTCCTGGATCATGCACTTGACATTAAAAACAAAAATGCTAAAAGGCTGGTAGCCCCACCCACAGCTGCTGGCATTAAAAGCATGAATTTCTGCTACACTGCAGCATTGACACTTTCAGGGAGTGCTGAGGCAAGCACACTGTTCCTCATGTTCCCAGTAAATTTCATTAGTTGGAACTATGGATCTTAAAAGTACCTTCTGTGTGGATTACACAGGATCAGTGCTTCAGGTAATTGCTTCTTGATTTCCTTTTTACTTGTCTGCTGATTCATCTCTTTCTGTCCACTTTGAAAAGTGAGAATTTGTTCAGACAGCTTGCGACAAAGAGACAGTCAATTCTTTATTGAACATTATCAATGCCTTAGTACTTGTTTTCTCTGCATTTCCTCTGTAATGTATTCAAATGTTATTTATTTTGTTTAAGTTTCCACACAATGTGTTTCGCAAAGAAAATTCAACACTCAAGATGTTGTCTAAAACTGAGCTATGATTTTGCTATTTTCCATCTCAAAAGTCTGCACTTTTTTTGGGGGATGAGGCAAAGGGTGTGGAGTAGTGCAGGTTAGAGGAGCATGAAGAATAAATGTACGCATTTAAATGTTGTTTTGATTAAACATTGAAATATGCATTTTGCTTGTTATTCATTTGAAACTGTAAATCCATTTTGCCGAAGTATACGTCAATGCTGAAATTTGTGAAGTTTGCTGAATCGTATGAACAAAGTAGATTGGCCTAACATTGGATTAGGCAACTCAAATGAAATAAATTACCTGGTTTGGAAAATGTGACCATTAATTTCCACAAATTGTATTACTGGAGTTGAAATTTTACCTTGTGCAATAGACTGCATCTTTGATACAACACAATGTGAGGGGAAAGGAAGATGAAAAATTGGTGATTGGAATCAAAATTTGAAGCAATTAGCTAACACTATATAAACAAATATTCTTATCTGGCAACATAAGGTCAATACCATCAGCTGGCTGTGGGAGTAAATACTCAGTATCTATAGGCATTTCTCCACAGACTTGTTAGTTGTTTCAAGCCTTTTATCTTCGAAATGGCACGGATTGTTAATTTTCACCCACAAAGATTTTTCAGCATTTTATTTCATTTCCCATTTTCTACACAGAATTGATATTAAATTTGTTGAGTTTTCTGCCGTATAAATATTTACTTCACATTATTTATGAGCAGCAAAACCCTATTATAACACATTCCTTTGCCAAAACAAAAAAAAATTATCTGCAAGCACTGCTGTGACGAAACTGCACTATTTGGAATATAAAAACAAGAAATACAAGGAAAACTCAGCAGGTCAGGTATCAGCTTTTTTTTGCTTTTTGTTGTACTGTTTGTAAAGTTAATTCGCAGCCATCATTTGTTTGAAAATAAACTATCATTCCCTGCTGCCATTTAAAATAAACCACAATTAATCATTTAAATAAATTTGGGCGAAGTTCTGCTGTCTGATAGCATTAATACATGTTGTGGGAATAAGGATAAAAATCATTTCTATTTAAAGGTTTTAGATTTCTCAGTCATCAGAGGCTAGGTAATCTGTAGGGTGATTTATATGATTGGTAATACTACTCTTAAAACTTTCATGTTAACTCGTTTGTTTGGACAGAAGCAAATTAGTCCCAAACCTGATCGCCCGTAAGCAGCCCTTTGCCTCAGATTGTAACCAGCTGTGAACTGACACCAATTGATGCTCACATTTTCCCATCACACATTTCCTCAGACATTTTTCAAGAAGATTCCTGGGCCAGGAATTTCCAGGTTTTTTGAAGACAAGCTTGGACGCAGAATGGCATGGAAATGCTAACTTTACCATAAACGTGTCATTTTTTTCCAAAGGTGGCAAAAGATGACAAATGGTGCTTGATTGAATCATGTACTTGGCTCATAGTGAGCCTCTTTTCCAAGCTCCACAAGCACTTTACCCATGGTGGGTAGTCATCTGTCATACAGCAAGATTCCTGAATAAACCTGCTGACCTTCCAGCTGGCTCCAGCATGGTGGTTCAGGGTTAATTTTGTTCAGATGAATTTTGTTAGCCTTACCAATCAGAAACTTGGCATTCAAATGTTCACAGAATCATAGAATCCCTACAGTGTGGAAACCAGCCCTTCGGCCCAACAAGTTCACACCGCTCCTCAGAGCATCCCACCCAGACCCATTCCCCTATAACCCACCTAATCTACACATCCCTGAACACTACAGACAATTTAGCATGGCCAATCCACCTAGCCTGCACATCTTTGGAGTGTGGGAGGAAACTGGAGTACCCGGAGGAAACCCACGCAGACACAGGTAGAATGTGTAACCTCCACACAGACAGTCGCCCGAGGGTGGAATCGATCCCGGGTCCCTGGTGCTGTGAGGCAGCAGTGCTAACCACTGAGCCACCGTACGTGTTGTCTGCACCATTTCATTTACATCAAAGAAGTGATGGGATATTTCCCAATGACATGTTTGAGTGAGACTCCCACATCAATCAGGAAGCTTGACACCATCCAGGACAAAACAGCTCACTTGATTGGCATTCTATCTAATGTCTTCCACATTTGCTCCTTTCATTACTATGACATAGTAGCAACAATGTTTATCATCCACAAAATACACTGCAACAACTTACCAAGACTCCATTGATCGCACCTTTCAAGCCTGAGACCTCTACCATCAAGAAATTCAAGGGCAGCAAATAAATGGCAACACTGACACCTTTCAAGTTCCTCACCAAGCCATGCACTACTGGCACATGGAAACGCATGGCTGTTCCTTCAGTGTCACTGGGTAAAGATCCTGAAACTCCCTCCCCAGCGATTATATAGATGTAATATTTGTACCTATGTGGGTCAAGAAAGCAGGTCATCACCAACCTCCATCAAGACAATTAGTGGTAGACAATAAATGCTGACTTAGCCAACAATACCCATATCTTAGAAATCAATTTCAAAGCATGCTTTAGCAGATGCTCAACTATTCTTATCAGAGTGGAGAAAATTATGTGCAAATTTTTGTAGGTTTACATTGATTTTTGTCATTCAGTCCAGTTGGTTCATAATGGTGTTTATACTATAGTGAGGCTCCTCTTACCCTTCTTCATTCCATCCTAACAAACCTTGTACGTGTTACTTCACTGCCATGGCTATTAACAGATTTTTATCAGTTCAATTGATCGAGGCATTCTGTTGAAATCAATGTATTTTATATATGTGTAACCAATGGAATTTGAAATCGAACGATAGAATTCAAATTTTGGCAATTGAACATCTGATTTTTCTTTGTACTTTATATCAAAAAATGTTTTGATACATTTACTGGTGGGTTCAGAATTTTCCCATATTTAAAAGGATTTACGTCAATATCCAAACGTCGAAATTTGTCATGAAGGAAAAAGATATATGTGTTTGTTCTCACACTTCTCAGAAATGCACCATACCTTTAAGGCAGCGAGACAACAGTGCAACAGTTGATGGTCCAGTATAACAGGGTTCCATTTTACTTTCTGTGCAGCCAGTCTTTTAATAGTAGAATTTCAATCAGTAAGCTAATCAGACAGTTAGTTAGCTAGTCAACTGTCTCTGAAATCGAAATAAGCATAGCACCGAGACTGTATATTTAAGCCCGAGATGTCTAAATACAGTGCATACTTAGTTGCTAATAACATAGTTGTGTGGCTAACACAGAGAAAACCAGATCACCTCATGGTGGCAGCAAGTGAGCACTAGAAGCCAGTCACAGCGAGTTGGAACTAAAAGCTGGAAAGTACATAACTGCTGTGGCGGTCGTGAAATCATTTTCCTAACAATCGCACATCATCTGTCCAAGTTCAGAGCTGGGTTTCACATGTAACAACCAAAACAGTACATTACAAGTGCACTGATGAACAGCAACCACAATGGAGTAACAGTTGTCAGTACATTTATTTGCTGTCTTAAAAATGGGAGGCTACAATTAAAAAAAAAACTTGACAGTTTACAAGATGTCCAAGACAGCTCTAACTCAGCAACAAGTATAGTTTGAAAGATTAAAAACAAAGCTCTCTTAATACCGCTAAGGCCTACCTGTTTCCAGTGACCAAGTGATTCTGCTGCTTTGTTTTCTTTGAAAATGGCATGGACACAGAAAAAAAGCTTGTATGATATCATCATGATTGTTTTTTAGCATGATCACTACCTATAGTAAATGTTCAGATATCACTTTGAATAAGGGAAAGAAAGCAGCAACAAGGAGACGACAAGAGAGAAGCCAACATAAAATGAATTAAGATCCTTTAGATATTGGCAAGTGTACAACACAGCATAGTAAGTATGGAAAGCAAACATCCAACCATAGATCAGCATTCCAGTGACAATCTTTCAGAATTTCAGCTATTCAAACAAAGAGTAAATCTTCACCTCAGAGGTAAACCGATATCTATTAAAGAAAGACATGCCATCCAATGCCTTCCTAATTTGGGAAATGAAGGATGGAGAAGAAGAACATCCTGTGGTACTGCTAGTGATTACCACAAAGGACCTGACAAAATTTCTGACTTTTAGAAGATCGGGTTAAGATTAGAGTTAACTTCAGGATTCATAGGCTTAATCTATAGCCCAACAGCCAGGTGAACATGTTGATCTGCTCTTAGGCAATGTCATGCAAAGGTATAAAATGTGATTTCAACTATGCATTTAGCTGAAAGGCTGAAGGAACTTGTCTTTGTGTCGAAATCTATCAAATCTTCCTGGAAAGCACTTCTGGAGAAACAAAGATTAGATCATTGACAGGCTGAAGAAACAGCAACATTTGCAGATAGTTGGCTATGACAACTATTGAGCTGTCAACATAATCAGTAAACCATTCTTCTATGATGAGTTGCTTTCATCATCCAACAAAACAGTTTGCAAGATTTTGTGATTCATCCAAACAATGTTCAACAAGGAAAATGTTGGGCCAAAATTTGCAATATATCCAGCTGTTTGTAGAAATACAAAGTGCAATATAATTCTCCATAACAGTATGTGAAGAATATTCAACTGAGGAACAATATGAAAGATGTTCTAAAACTTCCATCTCTGCCCTGCAAGCATGTCAAAAAAGTCCACAGGTTAAACTTTATGGGCTGAATCTTACTTTTTTTTAAGCTAAGTACAAGATGTATCAAGTTTCTCAGAAGTTTTTTTTTGCAACAAGACTTAGCGATATTTCTCACGATATGTTACTAAACTCACACTTTTA